CCTTTTTAAAATTTAAAAAAAAAAAAAGTAGCCGCCTGGTGTTCAGATATTAATTCTGGGGCTGTAAACCAAGCAAGACAACAGGTTTTGGCACATGACGACATTTAAGGACAAAACCACAAAACAGAAACAGTCTTTCAAACTGGGTAAAGCAACAGAGATACAAGGTATTCTGATAAGGGCTTTCTACCTTGCCTGTTTCTGCGCAATTGAAAGATTTACCCCTCAATCCTTTGAATTCAGATTAGCTTTCTAGCATTCAGCTGTTCAGCAGAGACCCTAGCATTTCATCCTCACACATCTGCCAGCTTACCTTCAGCTCAGACAGGGAGACCATTACTGAACATCAGTCCCACTGCTCAGGCCTCCTGAGACTTAAGCTTTGTCAGCAAGATCCACTGATTGATGTTTAGATGCTTCCAGACTAAGGTTAAGTTATCCTTGTTCTGCTGACTATTCTTAGACTTTGAGTGTTTAACAAATGTATTTTAAAACCTTGAAACACACACATAGACACACACAAATACACGGTAATCTGTTTATTACCTAACCCATTTATTACCTACCTTGGGATATCTTTGTTCTGTTCCTGAATACATTGTTGAAGCAGATCTATAAATTTTTGTGGGAAAGCAGAAAAGTCTACCAAGAGACCCTGCTGGGATTTTAAACTATGGAAAGAGAGCGGAAACAAATATTAACATTACATATAAGTGTTATTTACTTCCTATGACATATTTTATTTACACTAGCAGAAAGGACTCTTCCTGAACATGCTAGCAAACTTTAATAGCATGATATTTTCAACCCTGAACACAGAAGAAATGTGATCATGTCTGGAATACAAATCACCAGAGGTTATTTTTAATTTCAATAATTCTCGCAAATGGGCTGCACCAAAAGATGTGATTGTGGCAGAACAGATATATTCCTTCAGGTAAGAATCTTCATTACAGCACAGTACAGTGAGGCTATCAAGTGGAGGCACATGGAAGGAGCAAAGGCCAGTGCTTTGCAGATGAGGGGAGATTCATCAATTTAAAGATTTTTATCTGCCTACTTGTTTATTCTGTACACCTTCACTATACATTAAAGACAGAAACTGACTTTCAACGGGGCGTGCATAAGCCAGACCTTATATAATGACACATTTCTTCTGAACATGTTTTACAAATATTATTTTACTTTTTCCTTTTGACCACGACCAAACACTGATCACAACTTTTTTTAAACTGATCTCTTCCTGCCCAGTGCCCAAATGCAATGACCAAATTTTGAATAATTACAGTAAACCTGGACACATCACAATTAAAATGCAAAACAAACGTAAGGCAAAGGACCAAATCGGTGAATCTCTGTTCATGCAAAGTAGTCTTGCCTCTCGCAATGAGTTCTTTAAATAGTTCACAAGCACACAACAATCTATAAGTAGTAGTGAGGATAAACAGAAGATGCAAGCAGCGCAGCAAACTGTGGCACTGTGGCTACGCAGGGAACTCAGTGTCAGGATATTCTCATTCATCTGTGTAAGCCTGAGCCAACCACCTTCCTATACTTCAGCTGTTTCACTGGCTGGTCAAAGAGAACAATACTACCCAAACACTGAAAAAGAAAAAAGTCTACAGATGAAAAAATGCTAAAACGTAAACTCTACGCTAGACCTTTCTAAGCTTAAAAAATCCTTTCATTCTTTATTACTATTTCCAAATGTTTTACAAACAATACATTATAACTTCACTTACCTTTGAAAGTCTTCCTCAGATAGGACAAGATTATAAAGAAAAAAAGGATCAGTATCATCAGTCAATCGGACAGCTAAATCCTGAAAAGAAAGATATTTAAATATTATTTTAAATACCAGAAATCATTCTGCAAGGATCGTTTAAATATCATAAATTAATATTGTAAACAGTATATTAAATATTTCTTGCTTTTTACCAACAAAAGCCACAATTGTGACAACTAATTTAAAGGGGGGGGAGGGGGGAATTAACTTTAACATGCCTAAATATTACATTGGGAAAAGCAGCAAAACTATTTCCCATAAAAATAAACCAGGTGAAAACCCTTTAGCTTTCAGCAGTAAAGATTTCAAAAAAAAAATTTTTTTAATTAACAGAAAGAAAACTATTTGCTATTTCTCTCTATCTTGACATAGTGTATAATTCCCACTTTTGAGTAACTAGCCCACTACAATAAATCACTAACACATATTGTTCCCAGTTTGTTTCTGGCATTTAAAAAGGAATAAAAAAATATATGTTATTTAAACACACATCTCTTGTCCTTCCCTAATACTACAAGTTTTTTAGGTCAGACTTCTAGCAGTTTGAGAACATACCTCCTAAACAATTTATATATTTGAACACAGAGCTTAGCAAAACAAAAGAAACCCAGATACAGCTGAAGTCCAGTAAGTCTATCAGAAAAATTGTCGCATTATGCTGCTTAGCTTTTTAAAAAAAAAACAATCTGTTCACTAGAGATCCAAACAGGGTTTAGAAAAAGCTGCCTTCTCTGTAAATATCAGTCTTTCATTACAAGGCTGGGGCTATGCAAAACATCTGGAGCATCAGGTCCAGGCACCTGTTCTCTAGTCATGCAGCTCAAACCTATGTCAAGAATATTGTACTTCCTAACAGAGGAAGGAAAGGGAGTAGAAACCTGATCAGCTCTTCCAACAGAGGTGTGAAGTGTGACTGCAGCACATACACACACACATGAATTGAAACAAGTTTAGGTAAATCAGATACCAGTAACACCGATGTAACTCTTGTTGTATAAACAGAGTTAGGGACTTTTATGAGCAACTCCTACCACCACAAAACAGCCAGGGTAGGTGTCTCAAGAAATAACCCAGTGCGTATTAGTGAGTAGGGTAAGAATGCCTGTTTGATTTTATTTCCCATGCACTGATCCAACCGTAAAAAGTTATCAGTCTAAAAAGGACGCACACAACTGGATTTCCAGGCACAGTCCTTAACTGAAGTCCGTAACTTCTTCACACTCAATATTCGTATCATTGCAGTTAGCAGAGCCTTTTAAAAATGCTGTACTGCTTTACACGCAAATATTGCTTAATTAACCCTACAACTAACTAGTGACCATCAACAATCTTAACATCATGGAAGGTTTAAAACTTTAAATAACAGGTTAGACATACAGCAAAACAGAAGTTATAACCTCCAATAGCAATTTCATGCTATTTTTCTTACAGAAATAAGTTCTTTTTCCCTAATATTTCACAAAAATCCTTTTCACTACAAATTTAGTTCATTACTTCTTTCCTACTCTCATCCCAACATGTTTGGATGTACCCTAAAAATTCAAAAGATGCTAACACCCACGGTGATAAAAAGCAAAATATCGGATCCACAAGTAAGTCGTAATTTTCATTAGTTAAGAATAGGACTTTGCAAACACAACTGCTTCTTAAATAAGAACTGAGCATATTTAAAGCAAAACTCTGCTTCTTTTCAGCATCTCCAAATACTTTAATTCTCAAATTAAGATCAATGCAACAGGGAAATTAAGGAAGAAAGCTAAAAATGCAAGAGGAAAAAAAATTTTTAACAAATCATATCAAACACTATATAAACACTACCAAAAATAAAATGAGGTCAAATGACAAAAAAAAAAATTAAAATCTTACTCTGCTTTTCCTTCGCCTTTTATCGCTATTATACAATGAAACATATACAAAACCAAATGAACGACACAAACATAACTACCTCACCTTTTTATGAATAGGATTAGAAATTGATAGTAGCTCAATATTCACTCGAACATTTAGTCTCCTGTGTACAAAAAGGGGCAACATTAACAAATCAAGGAAACATTCTTCAAATAACATATGTTCCTAGTTACATAACATGAATCAGACAACATTTAGAAAATAAAGATATTAAGAAAGTTCCTAACAATGCTTACTCTTATGAAACCTGAAAGCCCCATGATTTCAGTTATCATTACAGCTCCTCAGTCAGCTCAGGGTTTTCAATTGCTTATCATCCACTGAATTTTAAATAGTAAAGCTGACGTTTCCATTGCTCTTACTTGTCCAAAACGAAAACTTTCGGGAAATTTCTGCTAAAATTTATTAACGATTTCAAGAGTGAAATCCTCAGTTTTTACGAATTGCCATACTGTGCTTTGGGGTCACAGGCAGAGAAGTTTGCGGGGAGGCACTTTTTTGATAAAAAAGGTTTTTGGCTGCCCTATGGAAAGCTGTCCCAAACTAAAATTACAACACCACTTGTCTGTCACACCCCTAGTCGCACACCTCCTGCAAGAGAAAACACTTGGAGATCAACGTAACAACCCATGGCAGAATGCCCCTTTTTAGTTTCCTAACTCCAATGAAAACAACACACTTTTCCTCCAGAGCTTATGTTTATCATTTAAACAGCGCTACCTTAGTTTCCATTTACTTCGTGTTGAGTCACCCGGGAAGTTGCCTGCCTCGCCGGAGGAGCACCCCGGAGAAACCCGCCCCAGTGCCACCCCAGCCCCGGCAAGCCCGA